TATTGAAAAGATGGAAGGACAGATAACAATATGTCTTATTATAGAATTCTAGTTAGTTTTGCCTATTAAGGAGATAGACCACATAAGCATTTTATACAGTGCCCATCATACAGTAATGAAAATATTGTCATACTTTTTATCCTGTCATAATATAGTCAGGCAAATATATATTTTTATACTGAGCACTATTGACTATGCAATTGAATGCCCTTTGTATTCTGAATACCTTTAAAGTAAAAATGGTGTAAAATACTTTACTATGGTTGATCATTAAATATATCATAAAAGGTACGGATGATTTTTAGAGGACTAGCCTTGTGAATAAGATGCTTGCATTTAATGGATATGCCACAGGAGGCAGCTTGGAGGGGACTGTGTTGTAGGTTTGGGAAGTCAGGGCTTTGACTTTTATTTATCATACTACTTACTTAAGAACTTCTCTAAGACTTTATTTTTTCACCTGTAACAAAAAGATAAAAACAATTTCCAAGCTCTATGGTTTAGAAAGAATCCTGTGATATAAATATAAAGCAGCTGGTCAAATGCCTGGAAACAAATGATCCTTATTAAATTTTTGCTGTCTTTTCCTTAAAGGTTTTCCAGTCATGTCCTTGAAAATCATTTCCAAATGAAATCTGAAGGTAAAAATGAGTACAAATTAAATATTTCTTAATACCTTAGAATACATGAGTTTTAACTGTGGCAAGATGTGGAAAACTTTCAATATAAATTATGTTACAAATTATTACACTTGCTTCAAATGACAATGTCTTTCTCAAACTATGTTTTTATGACCTCCTAGCACAGGAAGATGCTCTGGGGGATAAAAGGTGGGTAAGAGACTATTCTATGGTTAAATACATTTAGAAAATGCTGAACAATATACTTGTCTCCAGGAGCTTACAGATCACATTAGTTTATTGAACCGTCCAAGAAATTCCAGGTGAAGAGGTCAATATTGTTTAGTGGTAAAGAGCGTAAATTTAGGATTTAGGCTGCCAGGGTTTAGTGTCCACTTCCAACGCTTATTACCTTTTAACTTTGAGAAGTTACTCAACCTCAGTGTCTCAGTTTCCCCATCTATAAAATGGAAATGGCAACAACATTTTCTACACTAGTATGAGAGGTTATAATGAGATATATCAAGTGTTCTGATACAGGCTAACAAAGGCAATTATCAGTAAATAAGCAATTAAAGAAACCTGTTTCAACTCTTAACCATGTTAACTTTTCTTTATAAATAATATTTTTGAACACCTTCTGGAACTATTATTCTTGGGAACGACACTTGGAACAACTCTAAAGTACAATGTTAGGGTAGTGACAAATTGCAATTAAGTAAAAACGTATTCATCACATTAGTGAGAAAACCAAGTACCACAAAATATCATCTACCTCACAACATGTGACCTGACTTGTTGCTATTTTGCCAGAAATTTTTATTGTCAGAACATTAGAGCAGTTTAGTTGAGTGTAAAGACCTTATCCCATAGATGTTCTATTCATTGGGGCTGTCTGCATCCATTTCATGAATTAGCACAAATAAGTTTATCACATTAGGTTATTTTCCTATTACTGAAACTGAGCCCTAAAGGAATGGAACACCAAATGAATAAAACTGTAATGATTAGTAGAGAAAAAAACTGAGTATGTAGATCACTGATAGGGTCTGCAAAGACAAGGAAAGACAAGGCACATTATCCAGACAGTGAATAAACATTTGCATATTTCCTAATACTAATCCTAAACAACATCAGTTTTAGTTTTATCCCTCCAAAATGGAGGGATAAAATAGCAAAGGAAGATAGCTTCATCTAAGGAAAAATATGCTACAATTTCACAACAATATGCAAAATTTATCTGTAGTCTAAATAACACCATGACTCCAAAAAAACCACCCTACCCTTTTCTGGAAGATAAGAAGCTCAGCAAAAGGACCATTCGAATGAGCAGTCTGCTAATTAACCTGACAACTTTCAGAGAGCTTTGAATTTATTCTCAAATTTTTAACTGTATCCGGTTGCTGGTTTCTCTTAAAGAGTTCATATTTTTAAAATCTTCATTAGAAACTTACTGAACAAAAAAAAAATCACTCTCGTTCTGTGTCCTTCACAATTAAAAACCATTTTCTATTATTCACGTTTTCTTTGTCTTCATCCTATTTCCACACAGAGCTATTTTATAGGTAAATATAATTTAAAAGCCCATTTGTTTCACTTACAATTACGTCTTAAGCACTGCCTCCCAAGAATACACAGAAGCCTTCAAAATGATCATTTTTAGCACCTGAATGCTAATATTCTTTCATGACCAGACATGCAAATGATTTCCAATTGTGTTGTTGGTACACTGAATCCCTTCCTATGCATTGTTTTAAAGTGGTTTTCAAACTTCAGGACACATATGAAACACTGGGAAGGCTTATTAAAACATAGGTGACTGGGCCCTACCATCAGAGTTTCTGATTTAGTAAGTCTTGGAGGAGGCCCAAGAATTTGCATTTCTAACAAGTTTCCAGATGATGCTGATCCTGCTCATCTGTGGCCATTTTAAAAATTACTATTGGAAGAGGCTAGGTGTGATGGCTCATGCCTGTAATCCCAGCACTTTGGGAGGCTGATCACGTGAGGCCAGGAGTTTGAAACCAGCCTGGCCAACATGACAAAATTCTGTCTCTGCGAAAATGCAAAAACATTAGCTGGGTGTGGTGGCACACACCTATAATCCCAGTTACTTTGGAGGCTGAGGCATGAGAATAGCTTGAACCTGGGGGTCAGAGGTTATAGTGATCCAAGATCACACCACTGCACTCCAGCATGGAGTACTTAGGTAGAACATAGCCATCACATTGGAAATAAGTCAAATAACATAGACATTATTATTGCACACAGGCTAACAAAGGCAATTATCAGTAAATAAGAGCAATTAAAGAAACATAATTTTCAGTAGATATGAGCAATTAAGGAAACATAAGACATATTTCTGAAATCCCTTTCTATAGGCTCATTTGAATTTGTATTGCCAAATGACTTCTTGATACTTGAAGCCTATGTATATACCAACTGATTGAATAAACAAACATGAGTCCTGCGATCCACCTATTTACATTTCAAAGATATGTATTATGGTTGAATGGGAATAATCCAAATTTCTATTACTGCAGAAATCAGCAAGGTTTTATCATTGCTCCCCAAATTCAAAGTCACTGAAAAATAACAGAAATATTTACATTTTGGAGAAGAGTACATTTGCATCTGCACAATATAAATAAAAATTAGCTGCATTTGATAGTTCAAAAAACAACAGTGCCCTTTGGAGAGCACAGGGCAAAAATCTGGCTTTGAGAAATTATTTTTTCATAAACTAGAAACAAAAAAATTCCCATTTGGCAAGAGGTTTTTAGGATGTTTGCCTAAAACCTCAGAGGTTTTTCTTTGTACTAAAGGATTCTTTATATTTAGGTATGGATTAGTCCCCCACCTGTAAATGGAGGAATATGAACATAAACAAGCCTGTCTACAAAAGCACATAGATGCCTCTATTAATACATCAGTACAGCAAATCTCATTTTCTCTAGAAATAATACATGAATAGATTTAACCAAAAGATAAACATTTCTTGAAAAGAAAAATGGAACATCAAAAAACCTGCCTTATATAGTAAGAACATTAAAAACATGTTCTTCATAAACACGGATATTAAAATCTTTGACAAATGACTAAATATGAAAGTTCAGATGCAAATAAACCTACGTAACATATATTTTTGACTGAAGATATTAGGTTACATTAGAGGGAGAAGTATATAATTAATCATGTGTTTTATTAACACTTTTATTACAAAAAGGAATAACTGTGTAAAAAAATGATTCTCTATATTTTGATTCTAAACTCTGGAGCCTAATATTCTAAAGAAGACTGATTACCAATTGAGAAAGGTCAACCCGGTAAAATTTAAACATATCTCTGGAGATTCTAGATCACTATTATTTAATGTATGAAAGGGAAAGCAGGCAGCTTGACTAAAAAAATATGTATCCTATCCTTGCAATTAGAACAAAAGAACAATAAGCAACTCAGGCAACTAATTGCCTTTCCTAGTGAGGCCATCTACCCAGATCTGTCTCATATCCCTAATAATAACATATTGCTATATCATTTTTGTTGCTATTCCAAAGCAGAATCACAACTGTTTCCTGGAAACTTAAGAAATATATTAGTAAATACTAATCTAAAATTAGATTAAAATTCAAAATAATTAACATTATATTTTAAGGCTAAAATTATGATTAAACTTTCTTTTTTCAACTACATGTTGCAGAGCCTTTAAAAAGACCTGTTACACAAATACGTTTTCGGTCAAAAGTAGAAATTAAGAAAACTTTACATGGGCAAAATTTCAACAGAGTCATTACAGATTTGAGCGTTGCGAGAGTACACATTGCTGGTACTAGATGTATATATTCGAATCATTCTATTCTACAACAGCAAGACACTTTTTAACTTATTCAACTGAGGAAATAATATAGGTTTTTTTTTTCCGTCACAACCTTCATTCCTTCAGAAACGACTAAACCGTAGAGCAGAAAATCACTTCTATGTACAATTGCAGATTTCTAGGAATGTATCTATATTTTTCATTTTCTTATTTTTTAACAAAAATATTGGTCTTAGCAAAAGTCACAAACTTACTTTGAGAGATTAAATTCCCTTGATTCTTAGCAAAACAGAACAGAAGTAGAAAGGCTTCTGCATTCTATTTGATCTCTATGGTGCCTTTGGTGTGTATGTGTTTTGGTAGATGTACAAAGAGAAAAACAGTTCTATTTGTTTAACCTCCAGTAGTACATTATAATGTATGCTACTTAAAAAAAATTCATACCATGTTTCTTTAATTGTAAGCACCATATGGAAGTTCCTGCTGTTGTCTGTCATATTTCCCCCAACTCAAATTATGAGTGTTCCCATAAAGAACAAGATAAGTGAAAAGTAAAACTTTACCCTGATGAAGAGGATCTTTTCTCCCACCCGGTATCTTCCTTGGGAGAGTCGCTCCACACAGAACTTGTTTGGGCATTTGCAAGGAGGATCTTCAGAAATTCGTTTCACCTGAAATAGAAGACCAGGCAAATTCATTCTTCTTAATTAGGTTGAATTTATGTTAATTTGCTCCAAGGACTCCAAGGCCCATGAACCCTTAATGACTTTAAACTTGTTCTTTATGTGAGCATAGGAATATCGCATTAAGTCATTACTATGTAAAGGTCAGGTCCCAAAGACCTCTGAAGGCAAATGACTGCACTAAGGCAAAGGTTGCTAATGACAGTGATGATTTTGGAGGATAAGGAGCAGGAAGTCAACAGGAATCATAGAATATAAATGATCAGCTGGGTTTCTACTTTTGGAGGACTAAAAAGACCATGCAGATTTGGGCTGTCAAGGTGAACCTATTAAAAACTAGAACAGAATGTATGTTAACAGAGAGTTTATATTACCTCAGTATAATTTTAACTATATGTTACCCAGTTTCAAAATAATGAGAATGAACCTAACAAATCTTTTTAAAGAGACTATTGTTTCATCGTATTTTGAACTCGAAGATTTTCTCTGAGAATTAATCTCTCATTTACTTAGCTTTACCCTGCAATTCACTCCATCTCAGTCATTCCTATCAAACCCTACTTCTGTGACCATGTTTTACAGCTTATATATGACCTATGTAATCGATGCCTGCATATCAGATTTTTATCTCCATTACATCTATTCTCTCACTCTTTAAAAACTACATAATCTAAATGATATGTGCATAAAGCTAATGAATAGTTGTGATTACTAGAATAGTCCAAGATTTTAGGAATGATTTTATGTTTTCCTTAACTGGGAACAACCCAGTCTGTCTGCTCTTCAACCAACTAACTAACCAAACAACCCAAACAATAATGTCCTGTGTTATGAGGAAATGTTTCCATGGAAGAAACAGAAAGCTGTAAATGATGTGCAGCCTGCATTTAGAAACTATATAGAACAAATTTAGAAATTGGCCTGGATTTCCTCACCCAAATTCTTCCACGAAGATGTCATAGTGTCTAGAGTTAAGTCATGAAAAAAATGCAATCATTCCTTCAAATAATTCAATGTGTGACTTTAATCAGCCTTCTAAGCAAAGACTGTGCAGGGAGTAACACATGAACTCAACTACCTGTTGATGTAAAGGAATTAAACAACTCAGTTTCACCAGAATAAGAAAGGTTCCAGAAGGTACGAAAGCTAAAACAGTGGAGGAATAACCACAAAAAGGGAAAAATTCCTGAATTAAATTTATCTGAAAAACTATACAATTACGACTCAATAAGGATGTACAAAAAGAGAACCAACACTATTTTTGGAAGAAAAGGACAAAAGAACCAATTTTAATATATACATTGCCATCAGTCCTTTCTGCCATCCCTAATTTTACTGACATATAAACCTATGACTTTTGGTACTTATTTTTATCATAGCATATTGTAACTCATTTATTGGTTAACATTAATGTCTTCTTGCTAGACTGAATCCTTAAGAGTTAAGATAGTATTTTATTATATTTTAAAATCAGTAATACAAAGCACATCCTAATGGCAAATAAATATTCATTAAATGCATATTGACTAAATAGATAAATAAGAACATGGATCTATACAGGACATGGAAAAATTAGGGTAACTAAATAAGCATGGATTCAAAGAAACTTAGAAATGGCCTTCATTGAAAAATGAGAAAACTACTTAACGTTAAGTTAGTGATTAGGGCAATGACTTTGTGTTATGAATTTTTTCTATATTATACTTGATCTATAGACACATTCACCCCAGTATTAATAGACTTCTGTTCTTAGAGATTTTTTGAAAGGTTATTTCTGAATGGGATGATGATAATAAAACAAGATGTACAAAAGTTGAATAATGATCACATCATTTCCTTCCAGTAATTCAGAACCACATTCTGGGGTGAGGGTAGGTTTACAGGACTAATGAATGTTGTCTATAGTTCCCATTTTCAGTATTTTTCTATGTCTATCTCTTTCTATATGTGTTTATAAAATATGTTTAAATATAAATACGTATATATATGTAAATTATGTTTATGCCATTGCTAGAAGTGGTACAGTTTTCCTTATCACCACAAATAAAGGCTTCCATGAGGAAAGCAAGGATGCAAAACAGGAGGGGCTGATCCTTCAGAAGAAAATCAGACTGACAGCATCCAAAAAGTACATGGCCTGAGGCCTGAGCTTTAGGAGGATCATGCTTGGCACAATTTTACTTGCCATGCGGTAATTAACCAAACAGTAAATTGATGTTCAACTGGTTTCTTCACTAAAAAATGACAATCACAAGTCTGTATGGAAAGTATTTCAATTTTTCAGTGTTCTTAGACAAAAGACAGAACCTCTTGGTATCAAATGAAGTAAAATACAGGAAACATTTTCTCAAGTGGCCTGCTCTTCTCTAATGCCTTTGTGGCTTTGAAAATGGAGTTGATTTTAAAAATCAAGGGCTGTTTTTGTAGTTGCATGAGAGGTGGAAGCAGAAGTGGAAGAAACAAGACCAGACTGTGGCCAGTGGAAATATATTGTTAAGTAAACAGTGACTGATGACATCTGTGCTTCTTGCATTACCTAGGGAAAAGTCAGTCTGGAAGGTGTTCTTTCTTGGCTAGGAACCCAGCCAGTTTTCAGCTGAAATGGGATTTCAAGAGAAGCCTGATTACTCAGAATTACATTATCTCTCGTCCCCATACTGAGGAAGTTGATGGAGAAGAGGAAGAAAGTAAGAATGGTTTCTGAGGACTGTATTCAACTCATTGTGTGAGAACTAGCTCAGTGAAGAGGAGAACTAAACCTGACTCCACTGTTTATCACAGCTGAATCACTCTATCAGGACATCTGGAGAATAAATTAATCTGAATGGATATCACTGTGTTTATTTCTCGATATCTTGATTAAAGAAGGTGAGATGTATTTTCCACATAAAGGGTCAACTATTTTTTCCCACCATTCCCTTAAATTTCAAACAAAGAAGTGTGAAGAAACATTGAAGGTTTCAAAACTGGCAGTTACTGCTGAAACTGTTCACTGGAATATAATATCTTAACACAGATCTACTTCTCTTGCTTTCTCTCTTTTTTATTTCTTCTTGTTTTTTTTCACTCCTCCTCTTTCTCTTTTTCCTTTTTTTCTTTTTTGGAGTGGCAGATAATAGCTTCCCCAGAGTAAATATAGCCAGTATTATTAACTAAACGCAGGAACTCTGCAAGCAATCTCTATTTTATATCTCTATTCTAAAACCCATGTCGGGGTACATCAATTTCAACTCCCAACTGCAATATATGCCTCACATGCAGTGAAGCAGTTGCTATAGGAACAGTTTCCTTTTATATTAGATATATGAAGTTCTGATTTAAACCATTAGTGAAGCTCAAGTTACTTTTTCTCTCCTCCACAGTTACTGAAGTAAAACACTTCAGTAAAAAAACCTATCGCTTAAACAGAATGCAAATAGTTCAATGTAGTTTTCCCCAATGTAAAATGAATGGGACTATAAGAGGCTTCTGTGGTCAAATAAGTTTGGAAGATTCCAGGTTAAACAAGATCTTATTATGGAATTCACCAGAGCCTTTGATATGCCAAAATGTACTACCAGACTCTAGATGAGGACTATAGTAATTTGTATTTCTCAAACTAATCTAACCATGGTGTGTTTGATCAAACATTTCTTGAAAAATGCCATTTTAAAGACTTGTAGAAACAGTATTCTAGCTGGCAAACATACAGAAATATCCACTTTGTAGATTTCCTATATTTGATTAAAACTTCTTAATTAAGCAGATGGTTATGTTCTGAACTCCAGTAAACTTTAAAGGAGGTTTAAAGCTTCTATGAAATCCCTTCCGTTTTTCTCAATTGAGAGCATGCAAATTGAGAGTAGGGGAGAACCACCATGGAATGGCTGGCTTACTATTGTATGGAAAGTCTTCATTGCACTCTCTTTTTCTGAACTAGAGTATTGGTAAAACTCTAAAACCCTTTTCATCATTTTTCCACCACCTTCTTGCCCTCTCTTGTTTTTCTCCTCATCTCAAGGATTGCCAGATATGAGACAAGTTAGTGAAGAAAGAAAACCATTCTAGCTACTTCTTCTAGGTTCATAGAAGTAGCTTCAAGTGGCAATATCTCCTCCCTCTACAATGCTACACCAGAATTGAAAAGTGCATTCATTTGCAGAGTATGTGTCCAATTTGGATAAATAGAATAAGGGAGAAGGTTAAACTTTAATTAGCTACATTGATAACTGATCCAACGAACATGGTACTGGATATAGATGGATAAAATATGGTCCTTGTCTTTGAGTACAAGGTCTACACCTTGACAGGAAAGGATATTTGTGCCCAATAAGATAAATGCTTCATTAAACTTATACAAGTACTTGCAGCACCAAGGAGTAATTTGCCAGTTATACCTGGGATGAAAGATACCAGAAAAAAACTTTATGTAGGAGGTAGCGCAACCTGAATTTTAAAAGATCAAAAGGCGTTTAAAAGTAGTGTAAAAGGTGAGTAGACAGAAACACTATGAAAAGCAACAGTGGCTACATCAAAATGCAGGGACCACTAATCCAGAGGACAAAATAGCTGGAAAACGCACAGTAGGCCAGAACATAGAGGGCTATGAATTATATGACATATCAACGAGCTTGGGTTTCACCCTAGATGTTATAGAGAACCCTATATAATTTTGATCAAATCCAAAGTGCATTTAGTTTGATCCTTCTGGTAGCAGAAATGTTGTAGAGATACATTTCAAGAATGGAGTGATCAACAGTGTCAAATACCAGGAAGTGAGCTCATAATTTTAGGACTAAAAAATTTCATTTGATCCAGTAATCAATTCAATAGGAGGTTAAGGGGGACATTGGCCAGCTACTCTTCAGTGATCTGGAACCCCGACTATAAGGCAATTTTGTAAAATGAATGAAGGTTATGGCTGAGGGGAAATGGACTATAAGCAAGTATATCTGCCCCAGGGGCAATACACTTATAAGAAAAAGACTAGAGGAACATCTTACCCTAAAGTAAGTCTAACCAAAAAGTATAATTGATAGAGAAGAAAAAAATGTTCTCATCAATATATAAACAATAGACCATTATCTACTACTAATATAGTATTACTCAATTACAAAATAAAAAGTGAAATACTATAAAAAAGCAAGACATATGACAAATTCATCAAATAGGTAATGTGATTTTAAAATCCTTTCAGTAGCATTAAATCAAAATGTCTTGCCCATTCTTCTTTAGTTCCCAAGTGATTAAACAGTTACCCAGAAGACCGCAAAATAAACAGGTTATGATACCTTTAAGAGCTAAAATGTTTGCTGCCGTTAACAGAAATGAGGGTTCTTAATCTGTCAGATGAACTGTTGCATTCTGCTCATCTAAATCTGCAATATAGTTTGTAGTGTCACATGAAGAAAAGCAAAACACAGAGAAATCTCTTTTCTGCATCCTGTAGTGTCAAACCATTTTCCCAGTTCTTTTCTTCCATTCATACCCTAGAGGAAGAAAATCACAGCTACGGACCACCAGTCCTTTTCAGTTCTGCCTATTTTTATAGCTGGCATTGTGGTTGGTGCTAGTTTCTTAGGACTCTCCCCAGGTATGTGAGACATATGCCCGCGTAATGCCTCTGGCATTATCATTTTCTATAAAATGCAAAAGCAACTACAGCTCCCAAAATACAAACTTTGCATAAACAACATCCCAGTCACTCCTGATTTGTCTCATTTACTAACATTTTTACAGTGGCACTTAAAATATATGTGTGGAGGGCATATGCACACGCATACTACTTTTCACAACCAAGAACTACTTTAACAGACAACCAAGGTCGCCTGAGAGTTTTAATTCACCGTGTTTACTGTTATACCTAAAAATGGTTTACTGTGATTCTGAGGATACCGTTAAAACATTTCCTTACTACAAAAATTGTGACTCAATGACTCTGCTAAGTAGAGGGACCTTGGAGAGTTAGACAAAACTGTGTTGGAATCTAAGGTCCTCTCCTCCCCTCAGCAGGTTACTCAACTCTACGTTTCCATTCCTGGAGAAGGAACCTGCCTTTCATATATGAGAGCACTTGAAAAACAATGGTAGTACATAAAAGGCACTTATCTTCTCTATCACATATTTACTTTCCCGTCTTTTAACAATCCTCAAGACCTTGTGTCTTCAGGCTTCTTATCTGTGAAATGGGGAATTGTGACCCAGTGACAAAGAGGCTTTCATGTCTTCAAATACAATTTTCAGGGAGTTGACTTATTATTCTAAAGTTTTATTTGTTGTTTAAAATAAAGTGTCATTAATTGTTTCAGTTTTGAATCTCAAAATGAATTGTAGGACTGCAAAGTTTTTCATATGGGCTTAAAATAAATTTCAAGAAAATTGATAGAGGTAAAGGTTAGACTGATATGACATTGCACAGAACGTGTTTTGTAGTACAGGAAAGACTAAGCTCTGGTAAGAAGTCTGACTGATTTTACTTACTGCATCGTCCAGTAAGTTTCCTGTACTCTTTTTTCCAGAAGACTTTGATGAAGGAGAAGGTGAAGGAGAAGGGGCAGAAAGAGTTTCTTCTTGTTCAATCTCTTTTTCCAATTTTATCAAACCAGGAGGCTCCACACCATACCTTTAAAAGACACTGGATCATTACATCTGCATAACTTAAAATGATGAAATTACCATATATCATTTGATAACAAGCACCATGGGAGTAAATTCCTTACTTTTAAAACCAGCATTCACTTTTTTTCTGGCATTGAAATGGTAAGTTCTTGAATTAGCATCCTTCTAAGCAGAGGAAAAACATGTATACCTGCTGTGTATCCATACGTGCACATATATGGACACATAAGATATACTAAAAATATATACAAACACTCAATGCAATATGTTAATGAAACAATAAGATTAATACTATGTACAATTTGGCCTTCAGCATTTACATTTAGCAGCTTTACTTATATTAGTGCTGTAAACTATTTTGAACATAAGTTTGTTAAAAATAGAAATACAATCAGAGGGTCACAGTCAAGTTTGCAAACAGCAATCCCCAGAAATAAAAATTTTTAAATGATTTAGCAGGAAAGAAATTAACTTCTAATATATTTCCTATGGCCCTGAAACAATGTACTATGGGTTATACAATGTCATAGGCTCTGCTCCTAGGAACAGCATAATGAAAGCACATATATTGTTTTGGGAAGCAACTGAGCAGAGAGAATACAGAGATATAATTTAGAGTAACAATGTGTAAAAAAATGTGTATTGCAAATTATAAAAGCCAGAAAAGGTCAAAGGGTGAGACATAGTTGTTATCTCCTGTAGTCATATATTTCTTTAGCTAAATATAAAATTACATTTGGTTTCCTAGGTACATATCAACTGTACCTAGGCAGGGAGGCCAACAATAATTCTAGAATTTGAGAGTTGTGAAGGATTTGGGGGATCATCAATTTACACCCTTTCACTTTTACAGATAACAATAGAGATCTAGAAAAAATACATAACTAGTGAGGAGCAGGATAAAGACTTAAATGCAGTTTCTTTGGCTTTGATCAGGTGATTGGGTGTTAAAAAGGAGGGGAAGAGTCACTTAGAGATGAAAAAAAATAGGTTATGGATAATCTACAAAGGAAATAATCTATATGTAGAGAATATGTTGACAATATGTTTTAGTACCTCTTAATGAACAGTGTATGAAATCATCATTAGATTTAACCTTAAAAAATTTTCCTACTCTAATGGGTTATTATTTTAACTAACATTATTACTCATATGTTCAGTACATACTACTAGGGGAAAGCAATTTCCCTATTCTTGATGTTGGTTTTTTTTTTTTTTTTGCAGTGGATGCTCAAGTAGTTTTATTCTTGGCCTTTCTGCTTCATTACCCATCCGCTACAAGATAAAGGGATTTGTCAAATTAGTAAATTTAATAATAAACTGAGCATGCTTTACTTAGTTTACCCTACTTCTAGGGAAGAAACTGTTCCCCAGAAACCCTCCACATAGACCCCCCACTTTGCCTGCGACTAGGTAGTTAATTGGCCTAATGCTAGAGCTCTGTTAAAGACACTAAGCATATCTATCAGCTTGGATCTTTTTAGTTGTGAAGGTGATACGCAACTCTTTTATTTTCTACTTTTTCAGAATTTGGATAGTAAAGAGGGGTGCTATATGTTAGGAGCCCTTTGAGAGGTGGAAAATTTGAACAAAACAGTCTAGTGAGCACAATTCTACTGAACAGTTACTGCTTTGAGAACAGCTTCTAGTTCACAGATTAATGTTTAGCTACATAGATATCATTAGCTAAAAGACTGTAGGCACCATTTAACATATTTCTAATATTTTGTACATAGTTACCAGTTTATGGGACAGGACAATGGTGGAAATATGCTGGACTGCAAATTCTGTAGTGGGAGAGACCATTGTCTGTCTCATTCTGAGAATCACCAGCATCTCATATAGACCTTGGCACAGAATAATTATCTAATAACTACCATTTGAATGTAAAAAAAATCCTCTATTCTCATATAAAAATAATGTAAGGTTCTTAATATGAATTCAGGCTTATGGTTTTGAATTCCTAAATGCATATGCTTTAATAAAACATGTCTGTATTAAATGTACAAAAATACTTGACCAAAGTTTATCAAAAAGATTTTAACCTTGTCCAAATTTAAAACACATTTTTTTTCTAGTAATCATTAATAATGCTGAATGCTACAAAGCATCTGGTTAACTTGCTTTTGACAAGTACCAACAATACTCACATTGAGATTTGCTTCTCATTCTTTGAGTTAGATTTTGAATTAACTGTTCCATAACCTGCTTTTATAGTTTTTAGGTTTTAAATAATTTTAATTTGTATTTTAGATTCAGGGGTACATGTGCAGAATTGTTACATGGGTATATTACATGATGCTGAGGTCTGGGGTACAAATGATCCCACTACCTAGGTAGTGATCATAGTACCGAATAAGCAGGTTTTTTTAGCCTTTCCTCCCTTCCTTCCTCTCCACTCTAGAGTTCCCAGTGTCTATTGTTCCCATCTTTATGTCCATGAATACCCAGTGTTTAGCATTCATATATAAGTGAGAACATGCAGTACTGGGTTTTCTGTTTTTTCGTTAATTTGTTTAAGATAACTGCCTTTAGTTGCATCTATGGTGCTGCAAATAACATGATTTCATTCTTTTCCATGACTGCATAGTATTCTATGTCTTACAGTTTCTTTATCCAATCTACCACTGATGGATGGGCAATTAGATTGATTCCACATCTTTGCTATTGTGAACACTGCTGCTAAGAACACATGAGTGCATGCATCTTTTTGGTAGAATGATTTATTTTCCCCTGGAGATATAGATATCTAGCAAAGGGATTACTGGGTTGAATAATGGTGCTAAGTTCTTTGAGAAATCTCCACACTGATTTCCACAGTGGCTGAACTAATTCACATTCCCACCAACAGTGTATAAGTATTCCCTTGTCTCTGAAGCTTCATCAGTATCTGGTGAGTTTTTTGTTTGTTTTTGAGGCATGGTATTGCTCTGTCACCCAGGCTGGAGTGCAGTGGTGTGATCACAGCTCACTGCAGTCTTGACCTCCTGGGCTAAAGTTATCCTTCAACCTCAGTCTCCTGAGTAGCTGGAACTACAGGCATATGCCACCATGCTTGGTTATTTTTGTTGTTGTTGTATTTTTTTGTAGAGGTGGATATTTTTGTAGAGGTGGAGCAGGTCTCACCTGGGCTCAAGTGATCTGTCCGCCCTGGCCTCCTAAAGTGCTGGCATTATAGGCATGAGCCATCGTGCCTGACTTCTTTGTGGTTTTGATTCATATTTCTCTGATGATTAGTGATACTGAGAATTTTTGATGTGTTTTGGGGCCACTTGGGGCCACTTGTATGTTGCTTTTTTCTTTTGTGTGTGTGTTTTTTTAAGAAGTGTCTGTTCATGTCTTTTGCACAAATTTTAATGAGGATTTTTTAAAAATTAAGTTTCTTATGGATTCTGAACATTAGACTTTTGTCAGGGGTGTAGTTTGTGAATATTTTCTCCCATTCTGTAGGTTGCTTGTTACTCTGTTGAATTTCTTTTGTTGTGCAGCAGCTCTTTAGTTTAATTGAGTCCTGCTTGTCAATTTTTGTTTTTGTTGCAATTTCTTTTGCAGATTTAGTCCTAGTATTTAGACACCCTAGTATTTTCTAGGATTTCTTCTAGAATTCTTACAGTTTGAAGTCTTACATTTAAATCTTTAATCTATCTTGAGCTATTTTTTGTATATAGTGATTGGTATAGATCCAGGTTTATTCTTCTGCTTATGGATACTCATTAATCCAGCACCATTTATTGACTAGAGAGTCCTTTCTCCATTGCTTATTTTTGGCAACTTTGTCAAAGATCAGATGGCTGTAGGTAGGCAGCTTTACTTCTATATTCTATATTCTATTTCATTGTTCTGTTTTTGTACCCGTACCATGCTGTTTTGGTTACTCTAGCCTTAGAGTATAGCGTGACGTTTCTTCACGCTATACTCTAAGGGTTTGTTCTTTTTGCTAAGGATTGCTTTTGCTATTCAGGCTCTTTTTTTGGTTCCAAATGCATTTTAGAATACTTTTTTCTACTTCCATAACAAATGACAGCTGCAGTTTGATAGCAATGGTGTGGAATCTACAGATTCATTTGGGCAGTATGGCCATTTTAATGATACTCATTCTTCCATTTGGTTGTGTCATCTATCATTTCTTTTAGAAGTGTTTTTATGGTTGTTCTTGTAGAGATCCTTCACTTCTTTAGTTAGATGTATTCGTAGGTATATTTATTTATTTCTCTCTTTTTTTTTTTTTTTGTAGGGAGATAATTTGACTTCTTCTTTTCTTATTTCAATGCTTTTTAGGTATTTCTTTTGCCTGATTGCTCTGGCTAGGATTTCCAGTACCATAGTGCATAGGAGTGATAAGAGTAGGCATCCTTGTCTTATTCCACTTCTTAAGGAAAATGCTTCCAATTTTGACCCAGCTTTCGCTTCAATATGATATTGACTGTGGTTTTGTCATAGATGGCTCTTATTCATTTGAAGTAGGTTCTTTTATTGTCTAGTTTGTTGAGGTTTTTTTTTTTTTATCATGAAAGGATATTGGATTTTATCAAAAGCTTTTCTCACATCTATCAGATGATCATATGGATTTTGTTTTTAATTCTGTTTATGTAGTAAATTATATTTATTGATTTGCATATGTTGAACTAACCTTGTATTCCAGGAATGAAACCTACTGAATCATAGGAAATTAACTTTTCAATGTGCTGATTCAGTTTGCTAGTATTTTGTTGAGAATTTTTGCACCTGTGTTCAACAGAAATATTGGCCTAAACTTTTCTTTTTTCATTGCGTCTTTGCCAGATTTTGGAATCAGAGTAATGCTGGTTTCAGAGAATGAACTTGGAAATAGTCCCTTTTCCTCAAATTTTGGAATGGTTTCAGGAGAATAGGTACTGGCTCTCCTTTGTATGTCTCGTATAATTTAGCTGTGAATTCATCTGGTCCAGGACTTTTTTGGTTCAACTGCAGAATTCAATATTGGTCTGCTCAGGGTTTCAACTTTTTCCTGATCCAATCTTGTGA